ATAAACCTTATTTTTAAAACTTAAAGTAAAAATATAAAGAAGTTTTTACATCTTTTATACAAAATTAAAGTCATTAAATTTGATATTAATAAAAAACAATCATCACTATCACGAATAAGCAATTTATGGAAAATCATTTATAAAAATAAATCTAAACTAAATTTTAGATATTCATTTCCTCTTTAATAACTGAACTTGCAAACCTAGAAACTATAGAACACCTAGTTAGAAACTCAATTTGAAATGAATACAGTAACCTACAATTTCAATAATTTCAGTTAATTTTAATAAGATTAAGATAAATTATTGTCAAGAGCTATTATGATAAAATGAAATCAAAGATAGAAAAAAAGATTGGACATCATTTTATATTTTTTAAAATTAAGAAGTATAAAAATTAAAATTTAATGAAAAATAAATATATTAATATGAAAGAAATTTATAAATTTCTCTACTAAAATTAAATTTATCATAAATACAAATTTTGTTTGTTTTTATTAATTATGATATTTTTTTTAATTAAAATTATAAATTTTTATTTAATAGTAATTAATATTTATAAAATCTAAAAAAAATATTTTTACAATATATTTATATAATGATAAATATTAAATTGTTAATGAGAAATTATTTTTATTTATGTTGACATAATTTTCAATTAATAAATTTTATTAAAAAAAAATAAAAAATGGCTTAAATACCTAAATTTGATAAATTTTTATTATTTATATTAATCTAGTTAATAACTTATACATGAATTAAATTCTTGCATCTCAGCGTTCGCAAGAATTTAATTCATGGGAGTGATAAATATATTATCAATTTAAATAAATAATAAAAAGGAAATTTAGAGCAGTTTATTGATTTTTTTTATCAATTAATTTAGCATTAAGGATATTTAGTTAATAAATTTAAATAATATGAAGAGAATATAATACCTATTCATTTTTATCTATTTTGTAAAGTAAGCATAGCAATTAAGCATACCAGATGTATGTCCTTTACTTAGCAATTTTTTTTAAAGTTCATCTGATCAATGTTAATAGTGCTTAAAAAATTGCAGTGAATGCTTTTCAAACAATTACTGCATTTTATGCAGGCCAGGATTTATTTTAGTAATATTATTCTATTTTTAACTTAAAATTGATCAATTATTGACCATAATAGAATAATTAGGGATAGTGTGTAAGTAATTGTGGAGATAATTAACTGAAAAATATTTTAAATAAGCAATGTTAAAACTTTCCTGATATAAATTGCTAGAAATATAATGAACAAAACTAATGCTAATAATGTAAAGATGGATATATTTTAAGTGAAAATAAAATATGCGAAAATACATTTTGTTCAGGTTATTAAGGCAACTACGATATTTCTACCTAAAAATGTTCTTTAGACGGATTTTTACTATCAGATTATAGTAGGGAATAGTAAGATTAATAAACTAATGCTCAATTAACTTAAGATTCTTTCAGCTTTTAGTACTCATCATTAAAAGAAAGCTTGAATGAGCAAATAATAGAAATAATTGTTTTAGAAATATTAGACTACAAATTGGTACTTTTTTAATAATTTTGTATAAATTTTATAATATATTTATT